TCACGTGACACTGAAGACTGGAGTAATGATGCTGAAAATACAGCTGCGCATCACAGAAATACATTACAGTTTAACAGATATTCACATAGAAAACAGCTGTTTTACATTGTAATAATATTTCACTGTTTTTACTGTATTTTTGATCAAATAAACACAGCCTTGCTGAGCACAAGAGACTCTTTCAAAAACATTTTAAAAATCAATAGTGATTCCAAACTTTAGATTTGGTCTCATCATTCAAAAATCTTTCTGGAATTCGTTACATATATAAATAAAACATTCTGGTGCTTGTTTTGCCCAGGGAATCAATGCATGAACTGATTAAATGTATATCTTCAAAGCAATGCAAGTCACTTTGCACGAGATGGAAAGTTGGAAAGGCGACTCACGATCATCGGCTTGAACACGTTGAGCTCAAAGTGTCCGTTGCTTCCTCCGACAGTAACAGCCACGTGGTTTCCCATCACCTGAGCTGCTACCATAGTCATGGCCTCACACTGCGTGGGGTTCACCTTCCCTGAGACACACACACACACACTTGAGAATAACACACACACTTCTGTGGTTCTACAGGCACTCTAAAGCACTGAGCAGATCTTTAATGCTGTGTGAGTGAGTGTGTGTGTGTGTGTGTGAGAGAGTGAGTGTGTGTGAGAGTGTGTGTGTGTGTGTGAGTGTGTGTGTGTATATGAGTGAGTGTGTGAGTGTGTATGAGTGTGTGTGTGTGAGTGTGTATGAGTGTGTGTATGTGTATGAGTGAGTGTGTGTGTGTGTGTGTGTGAGAGTGTGTGCGTATAAGTGTGTGTGAGTGTGTGTGTGTGAGTGTGAGTGTGTGTGTGTGTGTGTGTGTGTGTGAGTGTGTATATGAGTGAGTGTGTATGAGTGTGTGTGTGAGTCTGTATGAGTGTGTGTATGTGTATGAGTGTGTGTGTGTGTGTGTGTGTGTGTGTGTGTGTGTGTGTATGAGTGTGTGTGAGGTGTGTGTGTGTGTGTGTGTGTGTGTGTGAGAGAGAGTGTGTGTCTGTGTGTCTGTGTGAGTGAGTGTGTGTATGAGTGTGTGTGTGTGTGTGTGTATGAGTGTTGCATTTTTCAGAGGTCGAGGACATCAAAGCCCCAAAAATAGACCAGAAACTGAAGCCTGGAGCTAAAGGTCAGAGGTGAACCTGCAGCACGCCTCTCTATGTGTATTATATGTGCATCACATATTAATTTCTCTAAATACAAATCGTCTACATTCATATTATCCACTGCACAGCTACAAGCTGCATCCCGAACAGCTTCCTGCGAGCCTCAGGCAGTGATTGGCCGGCGGGCGCGTCACTCACCGGGCATGATGCTGGAGCCGGGCTCGTTCTCAGGCAGGATCAGCTCTCCGAGACCCGAGCGAGGTCCGGATCCCAGGAAGCGGATGTCGTTGGCGATCTTCATCATGCTGACGGAGACGGTGTTCAGAGCGCCGCTCAACTCCACCAGTGCATCGTGGGCCGCCAGAGCCTCGAACTTATTAGCCGCCGTGATGAACGGAAGACCTGCAGACGAGGAAGCAGAATGAACACAAAGCCTTACGCGATCACTGGACCCCGAGGAAAACACATCTGTGTGGAAACGCTGATCCTTCAATCTCTTCAGACTGTCAGACACAGAACTCCCTGAACTCAAGCATGAGTTCAATGTGTATGAACGTGAAGAACAAACTTGAGTCTGTTCCTCACATAAAGCATCATATGAAGTGGTATGAGTGTGTGTGTGTATGAGTGTGTGTGTGTGTTGTGTATGAGTGTGTGTGTTGTGTATGAGTGTGTGTGTGTGTTACCTGTGAGCGCAGCCACTTTATCTGCTACTTTCTCAGCGAAGCCGATGCGTGTGTTGAGTCCGGTGCCGACCGCAGTGCCGCCCGCTGCCAGCTCATACACACGAGGCATGGCTGCTTTCACTCGCTCGATGCTGTACTTCACCTGCTGGACATATCCACCAAACTCCTGCACACACACACACACACACACACAAACACACACACACACACACA